TCTGGTCTCCACATTCATCACCGTACATGTGCACATGCACCCCCGACAGGTTGGCCTGCATACCCACATGCATGTACACTACACATACATAAAGATTTTTAAAACTACCAGTAAGCATTAAAGGCAAAGATAGAACAAGCCCCTGGGCCCTGCCTCTGCAATTTGCTTTAGAGTGCACAGGCCCTGTGTTGCAGCATTACCATGGCGAGGTAAAGAGGGATAGCTGAGCGGTACCTCTTTGTCCTTGTCTTTAACAAACATCGCTTAGACAGCAATTGGAAAGTCAATTTGGTATAGCAGTCTGGGCAACCTCCGACTAGACAATTGGATCATGACAAAAAAATTTTGACTTATTTGTTAAAGGCTACAAGAGAATTTTTAAAATTCCTATTGGATAATCCCTATCCACTGTCGGTCACATACCCTGGAGGAAGCTTTGGCCTCTGGAGAGACAAAATTGTAGGTATGGTCATTAGTAATACGTGCAGGTCTAGGTGTCGGGATTGACTTTCTCAAAGCTGGCACAGACAGAAGGGAGCACAGATCCACAGAGGGCTAAAACAGTGCTGTGTTAATGCCATGTAGAACTAGGCACTGTAATAAAACAAGTGATTCCCTGTGCACCAGTACAACTGGGACTCCTGTGGCAGAAGACAGGGCTGGTCTTGGCATGGAGAATGCTGCTGGCATTGTCAGACTGATTTTTCCATTTGTTTGAGATACTGCACATTATTGTAGTGTTTCTCCCCCTGACGAAGGCAGATCAGCTTGCCAAACGGGCAACACTGATAATAATTATCATACTAGAAGAAACCGCACTACTTAGAAATGAAGCCTGTTCATGTACTGTTTGGCAGAAACTGAAAAGTAGCATATGACAATTATGTCAGCCAGGTAGTAAGATGGTTATGCGAGAATTGAAACTGAAATCATTAAGAAAATAAGCGTTCTGGAAAACCACAAGTTCCCAGGAGATGTGGGCATTATTGGATATGCAGTTCCATGAAGCAAAAGCCAGTGGCATTATGTGTTGCTTACAGGTGTAGATACTCTTTCAAAAACAAGGATTTGACTCTTGTTTTTTTTAGGCAGGGTTTCTCTGTGTATCCCTCCTAGCTGTTCTGGAACTCACTCTGTAGTCCAGGCTGGCCTTCAACTCACAAAGATCCTCCTGCCTCCCAAGTGCTGGATTAAAGGCATGCACCACCACCACCTGGCAAATTTGACTTTTTTAATAATTAAAATATAGTTGACTGGAATAGCAAGCCACAACATTTTAATCAAGTGTTATTCTTCGAATGCCAAATGCCTTGTATCAGGACTGAGTCAGTTTGTTGGGCACCACAGATTGTTTCTGCATGCAAGGAAGGGATCCAAAGCCTGCTCTATTTTCTCTTTAAGAGTACTTAGCGAAGAAAAGATCAGGGATCAGTGACTGAGATGCAGGTGTCTTTTTCCTTTACAATGCAGAAGTCCAACGTCTGTGTTGGGGAGTCCAGCTGCATGTTGTGTGTCAGGAGTCTTTGTGTGTTGATGCTGAGAAAACCCTTTCACTGGGCATGCTGCGTAGTAGCAAAGAGCTATAGCACATGGTATGAGTTGCCTGCTATTTAATAGGTAGGTGTTTCCCTAGAACACTAGCCTGCTCATTTGAGCATGTCACAGGCACAGAAAGTACCTCTTTCATCCTGGATTTGGAATGTTCTTCAACCACCTTGATGAAGAAAAGGACTAGGGAGGTAATTCCTGAAGGAGATACAATCATTAGGGAATGCTTTAAGAAGGTTCCTGTGCCATATGTTTCCTTTTTTAAAAATTTGGGGTGTATGTGTGCATGTTCATGTGTGTGCAGGTACTCATGTGCATGTACATTTTGAGGCCAGAGGATAAACTTGCTCAGAAATGACGACAAGGTTTCATTGGCCTGGGGATTTCCAAGTGGATGCTGGGGATGGAACTTGGGTCGTCATGCTTACAAGGCAAGAACTTTACCAGTTGAGCTAGATAGACTCTTCTCACTCGTGTTTGTAGTTTTGATGTGTGCTGAGAGCCCTTAGGGCCTGTCTAGGGTTTAGAGAGATGGCTCACTGGGTAATGGCACCTATTGCCAAACATGAGGACCTGAGTTCTGGGACCCACGTGGTGGAAGGAGAGAATGTACTCCTGAAAGTTGTTCTTTCATTCACACATACATAGTCTCTCCTCCCTCACAAAATAAATAAGTAAAATTAAAATTAAAAGTGTAAGAACTCTCTTTAAGTTCTGGGGAGATGGATAATTATGTTTGGTTGATGCACAAGCATGAACATTGACTTCTGATTCTAGCACCCATGTAAAAAGCTAGGCATGACTTTCCATGCCTGTACCCTGCCTGGTCTCTGGAAGTTAGAGACAGGAAGATTGGGTATTGCTGACTGCCACCCTAGCTCTAGGTTCACTGAGAGTTTCTGTCTCAAGGGAATAAAGTGCAGAATGATAAAACAGGTCACCTGGTGTCTTCCTTCGGGTCTTTGTGAACACATAGCTCCACACACGTGTGCATTCACCACACCCACACCCTCCTCCTGCAATCTTCCTCTGGTCTTTATAAACACATAGCTCCACACACATGTGCAATCAGCACATTCCCATCCTTCTGCTCTCCCTAACCCTATCCTTAAGAAAAAAGCAAATTTATGTTATATATGAGTCTTACCTGTGTGTTAATGTCTGTTTATGTGCATGTGTGTGCTGCTGCCTGTGGAGGCCAGAGGAGGGCATTGGATCCTCTGGAGCTGGAGTTACAGGCTATTGTGAGGGGCACCTCTTGTGGGTTATGGGAATTGAACATTGGTCCTTTGTGGTAGTATGCTGTTAACCACTGAACTAGCTATCTTTCCGGTCCCTTATCCTATCTGTGAGTGAGTGTTTGTGTTGTTTTAGCTGTTCCCACTTTGAGAAATTAAGAACTATAAAGAACAGTTGCAACATCCAGGTGTCTAGAAATTGCCCATAACTGAACTAAAACTTTAAAAACCCCTTTCATATGCTGTATTTGTTCAAAAGCAGTTTCATTTTACCTTCTCCAAAGTTCATCTGAGTGTATCCAATTTCCTTGTCTATCTGTACGTTCTCTTCTTATGGTCTGTATGTGGATGATTTATTGTGTTTCTTGAATAAAAAGGGAACAGAAGCCTGGGCTTGGTGCCATATGTCTTAGTTCCAACTCTTGAGGAGGTGGAGGCAAAGAAACAGTAATTCAAAGCCAGCCTCAGATATAGAGTGAGTGAGGCTGGTCAGGGTTATTGGAGACACTGTCTTAAAAAATAGGTGAGTGACACAGCTCAGGGAATCCTGCAGAGTTTGTAAGAACCAGAGGGGTGGAAGACACCAGGAGAACAAGGTCCTCTGAAACAACTAAGCAAGTGCTTCGGGAGACTGAAACTGCAAAGGCCTACACCAGCCTGCATCAAAGTTCTCTGTGTAGATGTTACAGCTTTCAGCTTGGCATTTTTAAGGGACTCCTGACTATGAGAATGAGTGGGTCTCTGACTCTTGTGCCTGTTCTCTTGAGTCTTTTCCTCCTGTTGGGTTGTCATGTCCAACTCCAATATGATAGTTTTTGCTTTATCTTATTATATTTTATTTTGTTGTGCTTTGTTGTTATCTCTTAGAAGACTGTTCTTTACTAATGAGAGGCAGAAAGGGAGTGGATCCAGAGGGGAGGGGAGGTTGGGAGGAACTGGGAGGAGTAGAGAGAGGGGAAACTATAATCAGGATATATTATGTAATAAAGGAATCTATTTTCAATAAAAGAAAAACATAGGTTGTCAGACAGATATTATGCAATAAGAAATACTAAGTTTTGAAAAAAAAATGCATATTCTTTAAATTACACGATTTAGGGCCCTTCTTTCCAGTAAAAGTTTATTCAAAAATGACTGAGTGAATGAATGGATAGGTAGATACATAAAAATAAGTGGGGCATTAGTTTGCACTTTGTTTCAGATGGTCCACAATAGTAGGACTTTGGCCTATACACTGTGAGGCTTCTTAGGAGGGTGGCACAAGTGAAGGACATTGTGTCTTTCAGCAGAATCTTGGCAAGGCCTACAAATACTTGTGGTTGTCACATCTTAGAGGTGCTACAGGCATCTGATGGGCAGAGTCTCTGGATGCTTCTGAACACCCTCCTGTTTAGACAGACAGACTTCAAATGCCAGGAATGCTCATATAAGTACGAATGTCCTGCAGTATTCTCTACTGGCTCCATGTTTCTGTAAGGTTTGTCAGCTGGAATTTCACCTTGGGAAGGGTCAAGACCCTGGCCTGGTGAACATGGAGGGAACAATAGACTGCTTATTTGTGAAGCCCAGGCCAAGAACTTAGTGAGGTACCCACTTTGGGAGCAAAAGGGATGTAAACCACACCGACATCAGGAGAAATTATGTTAATTGAGAAATGTAATTCACTTGAGCTGTGCAGTCCATCCACTTAACATGTAGCATATATTTAAAAAATGTGCAGTCATGCTTACATTAGCTTATAGCAATAGTTCATTCTCTGAAAACAGTTCTCCCAGTCAGTGGCAGTTACACCTCACCCCATTGCCCCACCCCTGCCAACTTCTACACTTCTTCTGCCCCCATGTTTTTCTACTTCAGGGACTGCATAGAAGGAGAATCCTGCAGTTCTGTCTCTTTATATCAGACTTCATTCATTGATGTGCGGGGGTTCATCCTTATTGCAGTCATTGTTTAAACCTCATTTTTCTTTATTTTACACTGCTCTTCTGCTGTTAGATGTATAGGCCACATTTTTTCTATTCATGTTTGCCTGACATTTCCATCTGCTTTTTGATGTATGTGTCTGTCTGTCTGTCTGTCTGTTGGTAGGGAAATTATGGGGATAAAAGTGATAGATAAGATCCTGGCCTAGCATCTGTCTGCTGGATGGACCCAGAAGATTCCCTAACCAGAACTGATAGCAATTTTGACCTCAGGAATCTGTTTTGTTCACAGGAATCTTACTTTATCTTCTATGAGGCCCCCTGCCCCAGAGCCAGCTACAATTTAAGGAAGATAGGGGACTACTGACAAGGTGAATGGTTGTTTTAAATCATTTTTACTCTTCTTTTATGTAGATGTAAAATATATTTCTCTTTAAATCAATTTGTAGTACTGCCCTAGTGTGTTTTCTCTCCTCCCCTCTCCTTCTATCCCTCTTCCTTTCTCTTTTTCTTCTGATCACCCCACCCCCCACCTCCAGGTTTGTTTCTTGTTCAGAACAGGCTTTCTCCTCTCCCCTTTCTTTTCTTGTTGCTGTGGATGGATCCCAGCACTTCTCATTTGCTAGCCACACACTTAGACCCTGTTTTATTTTTTTGTCTTGAACTATTTGTAAGTTGCTTTATCTCTTCACAAACTCAGCCTTCCAAATTTGACAGTTGACATCTATCTTCTCCTGTGGTGCCTGCTGGCTTTAGGACCCACCCCATGGACACCACAGCCACAGGTGTGTGAGGTCTGTATGTGAAGTGATGTGGTGTCTTCATATAACCCATGCACATCTGCCTGTAGGATTTAATTCCTCTCTAGATGCCTTAACAATTCCTAATACTGTCTTATTGAAAAGTGCCATGCAGAGTTGTTAATGGTAGTGTTTATGGGAATATTTGGGAGTGTATATGTCTAGCAGAGACTTCTGTAATAATTTTGATCTGTACTTAACTATATCAGCATGCAGGGACTCACAGATAGGGAGGTAGTAAGTAGTAAGCAAGTCCTCTCAGGAGTTCTAAGTTGAAACTCTTTGAGGTTTGAAAACTTCATTTTATCCTTGCATTCTGCCATCTCCGAATAAGGGGCCTAGAGTTAGAAAGCTTTCTACACATTACAGTCAAATAAAGACATTGTAGGCCTGAGTCTCAGGCTTTTTGAGCCAGGTCAAAGAAAGCCAGTTACCTGTCCCTAAGACAGTCTCCTTTCTCCTTTGTGCTCCCTGTTGCGATTAATAGGAGCGGCGGCAGGGCTGCGTCCCCGGCACCCAGCCGCCCACATGGCAGGCTTATGCCCAAAATAATTACACGGAAACTATTCTTTCAAACACTGCCTGACCCATTAGTTCCAGCCTCTTATTGGCTAGCTCTTACATATTGTTCTAACCCATTTCTAATATTCTGTGTAGCCCACGAGGTGGCTTACCAGGGAGGATCTTAACCTGCATCTGTCTGGCGTGGGAGAATCATGGCGACTCCTCGACTCAGCTTCTTTTTCCCAGCATTCTCTTCTGTCTACTCCGCCTACCTAAGGGTTGGCCTATCAAATGGGCCTAGGCAGTTTCTTTATTAATAAGAAATCACTCCCACATCAGCTCCCATACTGTTCTTTCCTTTTGGAGAAAAGATGATTTAGAACTCATCTGGCAGAGCAAGTACTGCTAGCAGCATGGGGACTTTGATCTGCCCAAGAAGGACAGGACTATAGCTTGTAGAACCATCTCAGAGGTTGTAAGGTGGTCTCTGCCAGCTGGCTCTTGGAATTCCTAGTCCTGTGTGACTGATGATGGTGGTGGTTTCACATTCGTATATGTATCGGCTCTTCCAAGCTACTATAGGGAGCATGGAAGAGTTTAGAAACTCAAATAGGAAAGATTTTCCACTTGTAATCTGGTTAAATCAATGTGATGTGTGGTGTGTTTGGAGACAGGAGGAGACAAATGACAGTGTTCCACATATGAGTACATCTTTGCCCAAATGCTAGTCTTGTTTAGGTTTTTAAGTATGGAGCCTTGACACGGGAAGCAGTGCTTTCCAGAGCGCCTGCTCAAAGACCAGAGATGAAAAGGAGTCCTGACTTGGCCCTTAGCAGCTGTTAATGATTAACACACCCCATGCAAACCAGCATAGCTTTAAAACATCTAATTCATATTTCTCTTTTAAGTGGACCAACATCCTGAATTGGACTGTTAGGAGCTACACCACTAAAAAACACAGTAGATTGGCCATTCCAGTACCCACAGCTGACATTTTGGCAACAATATTGGAAGACTATGAATGGGTGAAATAAAACGGAGTTTCATACTGGGATTCATTTAAAATAATACCCCACCACAAATTAAGGTTAAAGAAGACATGTGGTTGTGGGTCTTCACCTTTTACCTCATTTGAAACAGGGTCTTTTTTACTGTTTCCTGTGTTGCAAGCTGCTGAGACTCAGAAAATATTGAACTAAAAATGGTTCATCTATACCTTCTTCGTTTCAGTGACTCAAGTCTACTAGGCAAAATAAGAAGCTATAATTAAGATCTAGGTCAGCCCTTCTAATTCCCTACAAAATGAGGGGTCAACTGTATCGACCATTCTCCAAGACCTGTAAACTGGTCTGGTCTCTTCTCGGGGATGTTTTGCTCCCTGGAGGACTTTTGGTAGTATCTAGAGATAAGTTGGGGTCATGATTCAGGGAAGGGTACTTAATGAAAAAAAATCAGGAGTGTTGTAAAATGTGTCCTACAATACGTTCCTCATGCAAAATAATGCCCCCCAGAACAATTTCATAAGCACTGTGCCACTGTGCTTCCTTTCATATGACAAAAATCTTTCCAGACATTATATAATGCTTCCTCAGGGAGGGGGAGGATAATTACCTTGAGTTTGGAATCACCTCTCTGAACTCAAAGGCTGTAAAATCAGCTGTTACTTCCCTTCTCTTGAGTTCTGGTAAGTTAAACTACATTACCAGTTGCCCTGACTTTTTGTAGGGACAGAAATCAAATTCCAGAGCTTTCTGCTTATTCTCTTTAAATGTCATTTTCCATCGCTGTGGCAAAGTAACACAGACAAAAATCCTTTACAAAGGAGAAGACTCAATGGGGGTAGGAAGATGACTCAGTCAGTAAAGTGCTTGCTGCTTAAGGATGAAGACCTGAGTTTGATCCCCAACATCCATGTAAAAGCCAGACATGATGGTACATACTTATAATCTGAGTCCTATAGGAGTGCAGGCTGGACTACTCCTGGGCCTTGCTGGCCAGTCTAGTCAAATTGGCAGTATCCAGATTCAGTGAGCAATCCTGCCTTAAATAGTAAGAGAGTGAGGAAGACCCTGATTGTCAACCTATATTCTCCATGTGCACATACTCACACATACATACACACAGATACACATACACACACACACACACACACACACCCCAAAATGGGGGAGGGCATGGGGATTTATTTGGGCCCATAGGTTCAGAGATCTTAGTTTGTGGTTGTTTGGTCAATTGTTTTGGGCTGAGGTAGGCAAAGCATTGGTGGAAGGGTGTGGAGGAGCAGAGCTGCTCACCTCTTGGTGGCCAGGAGAGAGTGGGATCCTAAGTCCTGAGGGACAAGGTGTATCCTTCAGTGACAGTCTCCTAGTGACATCCTTCCTCCTGCTAAACCATACCTCTTAAAATTTCCACCATCTTCTAATAGTACCATCAATTTTGGAATCTATCAGCAGATTACCTCATTGCTGAGGGGTTAACCCTAATGATGTAGCTATTCTGCCAAGCCTACATCTGCACAATTTTGCATACCTAAGTCTTCAGCACCTATCCAAACCATGACAGCCACTCACAGAGTCAGTTCTTGATACAATTTCTTGATCTCTCGAGATACCACCCAGGGTAGCCTTTCTGAGTAATGTTCCATTATTGTGGATGTGAATTTAAAGTTCTTATTAGCAACTGATGGCTTGTGATATATGTGCAAGGAAAAGGCATTCAAAAAGAAAGTAAGTTATATATTCTTTAGGGTGTAACAATATGTTGTGTGGCAATTTCTTCTGAGATAAACCTTTCGTCTTGGTTGGAAGCTCCTCAAGATACAGGATATTCTCAGAGGAAGTGAAACACTCCGTCTTGCTGGGAATCTCTTTAAGACCATAAAATAAACAACTCACAGGCTTTAGCAACACCAACTCCCCCCAAGCCTATGTAGGCAGTAAGGGCTACTGAAAGTCACTTTCAGATAAGCTGAGCTGCCTAGAAGGGTCTCAGAGCAGGTGAACCCCCTGGAATAGAGACCAGCCAAGCTGTCTGGAAGAGACAACTTTTTTTAAAACTTATTTTTTATTGCTTTATAAATAATACCATTCAAAATTTCCACTTCCTTCCCTCCTCCCACTTCCCCACTCCCCTTCCTCCCTCCCCCTCCCTCCTTATTAGAGGGCAGGGTGCCCTGCCCTAAGGGAAGTCCAAGGCCCTCCCCCCTCCATCCAGGCCTAGGAAGGTGTGCATCCAAATAGGCTAGGATCCCAAAAGGCCAGTACATGCAGTAGAGGCAAATCCCAGTGCCATTATCATTGGCTTCTCAGTCTGCCCCAATTGTCAGGCACATTCAGAGGGTCCAGTTTGATCCCATGCTCATTCAGTCCCAGTCCAGCTGGCTTTGGTGAGCTCCCATTAGATCAGGAACACTATTTCAGTGGGTGGACACACCCCTCCTGGTTCTGACTTCTTGCTCATATTCTCCCTCCTTCTGCTCTTCAACTGGACCTTGGGAGCTCAGTCCAGTGCTCCGATGTGGGTCTCTGTCTTAGAAGACACAGACAACCTTTAACCTGCTCAGATGCCTGCAGTTTGTGTGTGCTGTGTGCTCCAGGTTTCCAGCTTTCACGAGCTGTCACTTATACTGGGGTGGGCTTTTAGTGATGCAGCTGTGCTTAGTCATTTCTGTTCCTGTAAGTAGACCTTTACCCATATTCTTCTAAGTAGCCCCAATAAAACTCATTGGTTCACTAGTATGGAATTTGGTAGTATCCTTCCTTACTTTTTTTTTTTGTTGTTGTTGTTGTTGGTTCCCTATCTGGATTTCATGTCTCCCCTGGACTGGTGTCAACACAACACCACCAAAGTAGGCTAGGTAATGTTCAGGGTAGCTACGATTGTCTTGTGATCATACAAAGCAAAATGCATATTAGAGAATGTCCCTCAATAATAGAGTAACTGTTGCACGTAAAAGGCCTTGGCTGGGTTTCAGGTGGGGGGATACACTAAGGGGAGTGGGGTGGGAGAGTTGTTTATTTAACTTTGTTGTGTTTGAGATATGCTGGTCTCAGACTAGTTCTGTGGCA